ATAAGAATCCAGTATGTTCCAGAGCATAATGGGTTAACCCTTACAGAGTGCCGCCTCTGTAAGAATCCAGTATGTTCCAGAGCATAATGGGTTAACCCTTACGGAGTGCCGCCTCTATAAGAATACAGTATATTCCAGAGCATAATGGGTTAACCCTTACGGAGTGCCGCCTCATTAAGAATACAGTATATTCCAGAGCATAATGGGTTAACCCTTAAGGAGTGCGCCTCGATAGACAAATATTATGTGTCGATGCTCTTTAGTAGGAAAACACGTCTTGACACGTTTTCTGTGCTCCGACCGATGATGAACAACTCGCATCTTCTGGATTTCCTTTCCGCTTCGGAGCGTAATCGTTCTCTGGCGTTTCCAAGAATATTGAATCAGCGCAAACACCTCTGATAGTTCCCTAGGAGCTTTAAGTAGGAACTTTTTACCAAGATTGGTTGTTTTATCATTTTGAGAGATGAATTTGATTGACGCGAATTGACAAGTACTAACAGCTATGATAGGTTGAGATCGGCGAGGAAGAAATTGAGACCTTTGACTCGACACATCGGTTTAATCTCAGTGCCGCCTCTGTAAGAATCCAGTATGTTCCAGAGTATAATGGGTTAACCCTTACGGAGTGCCGCCTCTATAAGAATACAGTATATTCCAGAGCATAATGGGTTAACCCTTACAGAGTGCCGCCTCTGTAAGAATCCAGTATGTTCCAGAGTATAATGGGTTAACCCTTACAGAGTGCCGCCTCTATAAGAATCCAGTATGTTCCAGAGCATAATGGGTTAACCCTTTCGGAGTGCCGCCTCTATAAGAATCCAGTATGTTCCAGAGCATAATGGGTTAACCCTTACAGAGTGCCGCCTCTGTAAGAATCCAGTATGTTCCAGAGTATAATGGGTTAACCCTTACGGAGTGCCGCCTCTATAAGAATACAGTATATTCCAGAGCATAATGGGTTAACCCTTACGGAGTGCCGCCTCTATAAGAATACAGTATATTCCAGAGCATAATGGGTTAACCCTTACGGAGTGCCGCCTCTATAAGAATACAGTTTATTCCAGAGCATAATGGGTTAACCCTTACGGAGTGCCGCCTCTATAAGAATCCAGTATGTTCCAGAGCATAATGGGTTAACCCTTACGGAGTGCCGCCTCTATAAGAATCCAGTATGTTCCAGAGCATAATGGGTTAACCCTTACGGAGTGCCGCCTCATTAAGAATCCAGTATGTTCCAGAGCATAATGGGTTAACCCTAAGGAGTGCGCCTCGATACACGTCTTGACACGTTTTCTGTGTTCCAACCGATGATCTCACATCATCTGATTTCCTTTCCGCTTCGGAGCGTAATCGTTCTCTGGCGTTTCCAAGAATATTGAATCAGCGCAAACACCTCCAGATAGTTCCCTAGGAGCTTTAGAATACAGTATATTCCAGAGCATAATGGGTTAACAACCCTTACGGAGTGCCGCCTCTATAAGAATCCAGTATGTTCCAGAGCATAATGGGTTAACCCTTACGGAGTGCCGCCTCTATAAGAATCCAGTATGTTCCAGAGCATAATGGGTTAACCCTTACGGAGTGCCGCCTCATTAAGAATCCAGTATGTTCCAGAGCATAATGGGTTAACCCTTAAGGAGTGCGCCTCGATAGACAAATATTATGTGTCGATGCTCTTTAGTAGGAAAACACGTCTTGACACGTTTTCTGTGCTCCGACCGATGATCTCACATCTTCTGGATTTCCTTTCCGCTTCGGAGCGTAATCGTTCTCTGGCGTTTCCAAGAATATTGAATCAGCGCAAACACCTCTGATAGTTCCCTAGGAGCTTTAAGTAGGAACTTTTTACCAAGATTGGTTGTTTTATCATTTTGAGAGATGAATTTGATTGACGCGAATTGACAAGTACTAACAGCTATGATAGGTTGAGATCGGCGAGGAAGAAATTGAGACCTTTGACTCGACACATCGGTTTAATCTCAGTGATCATCTTGACTTTAACTTTAACGCAAGAGAACAGAGGGTCAATTGCTGCGTCCCGTCTGTCAGAAAATATACTTCAACGGTTGTCAAGAAAGAAATTCATTGGATGGAGTAATCATATCTGTATTATCTAGCGGCATGCATATTAGTCATTAGTGAGTAATCTCCCTGTCATTTCGCTATTGAGCTTCAAATCATCTGCTAAGTTTCTTTTTGGACGTTAGTTTAGAAACCCTGTACACACATAAACAGTACACAGATACTGAAGTAATACTGCCCAGCGTTTAACATTTCCAGATACACGCCATTCCTGATGCTGAACAAGAACAGATTTAGTTCAGCGGAGACTATTGCCCTGAGTCAAGATGAAATCAAATTATTGGTATCCCGGTATACTGACAAACTCGGTGGTGGTACTATTACATTAGTTGTAGAAATGCCCCAGTCCAGTAAGAGTCAATTTGTTTTAGTAGACTTTCTATCGCGCACACACAGCTATTAGTAACTGTCATAGCTCGCACGGTCACCAGTCAAGGCACCAGAGAGTTCCTCCAGTACATGCTTGTACACGATCTCGCCAAGGAACGAAACCCGTTTATCTGTTTAGTGCAAACGTTTGGACGCACCACCCATAATTTACACATATGTTATAATTTTCTTTCGAGGAGTTGTATTTTGACACAGCCGATTATATTTGAAATGGATAAGACGTACCTAAAGTATCTCATTGTACACAAAATGATATTTTCTTTGTGATTCAAGAACGGTTTCTTTATTTTCAATAAATTACTCTTCGGAAAATATACCCAATCTCAGATTTTTCTAAACTGTTAATTTCATATCGGTGAGTAGATCGGTGCTCACGATGCCAATCACTGGATTGTCTAAAGGGATCGGGTGGTCATGCTCGCTGGCTTGGTTGACAAATGTCATCGTATCCTAATTACGTAAACCGATGCTAATGCCTTTGATCACTGGATTGTCTGGTCCAGACTCGATTGTTTACAGTTCGTATAGTTGGAATATTGTTGGAATCGTGCTGCGAAGATCGGTGCTCACGATGCCAATCACTAGAGTATCCAATGGGATCGATGGTAACGATGTTGATCACTGGATTGTCTGGACCAGACTCGATTATTTACGGACAGCCGTCATACAGCTGGAATATTGTTGGAATCGTGCTGCGAAGATCGGTGCTCATGATGCCAATCACTGGAAAATACAATGGGTTCGATGGTACTGATGTTGATCACTGGATTGTCTGGTCCAGACTCGATTGTTTACAGTTCATACAGCTGGAATATTGTTGGAATCGGGCTGCTATAAAACAGACTCTTGCAATACGGAGAACCAAATTGAATACATTGTTTAGACATGTGCAATACCAGCCTACAAAAATAGGCCCCCGCCAAGTCGTTAGTAGCCATAAGCCCCGTCAGTGCGAGATAAGCACGCAGCGAGGCATCGTATAGGAATAAGAGACATGATTTTAATTAGATTGGATGTACATGTAGGTGTCATGATAACTTTCAGGGACGGTATTATGATACCGGGGATGACACCGTTGGATATAACTCAGGATGAAGTAGGAGGTTATATTAACCTGTCAGTCTTATTTGGATTTGCACTTTGATCACTGCAAGAAATATTTTTTTCAAAAACTCAGTTTGATGGATGGAAACTTTTCCAAACTTTTCAACTTTCAAATATCATTAACGAGGACATGTCATTTTTTTCAGAAGCATTGTGTCTTAAATCGAAAACATGTTTAATCTCGCGTATGTTTTGGGGTGTATTATTTTTTGTTTCATTTACACTCACGTATCACGGGTCTGTTTGTCAGCAAAAACAAAACGTGTGTTTTGAAGAAAGATGAAATAATCCCTCGTATATATTTGGAGAGATACGCGCGTAACGTATTTAAACTCAAAAATCTCTTAAAATCATGATTCATCTCAGAGAATTCATACCCACGGCACGGCCGGGGAGTAATGCATCAAGTGAAATTCTGACAGTGTTTTCTTTACGAAGATTGATTTCCCAGTGGATAAGTCATGTTCCGTCGAAATATGAAGGAAGAAAATTTGATCCGTTCTACACCAGCTAACTATCACCGCCGTCCACGCTGCTGACGAATCGTACACGGTGGCGTTGTCGAAGAGAACTCAAACTGTTTCCATTTGATAAAGGGCTTGTTTACCCATCAATTATTTTCGCGTATGCATCAATTACCGGCGATTGCTCTGGCACGCGTGGAAGTAAGTGATTCCGCCTTAAGAAGCAGATCCGTTTACGACAAGAAATGTTGGCTAGTGTAGTAAAGAACGCAATAAGAGTTTTTAATATCATTATAATTACCGGCGCTGTTAAAAACCTACGTTTTTTGTGATTTAAGGCCTGTAAATTATCTTTTTTTAAATTGTTTAAGTTGAAACAACAAGACCCACGTCGGCACACTATCCAAATGGCTGCTGTTCTCACATCTGACACTTAAAGGGGCACTTGACTCAATGTCATTGGTAGCGCCAGTAGTACGATTTTGATTTGAGTCACTCAAAACCGATTTGTAATATATATAAACGTGAATACATACACACACGCGCACACACTATGTATGTAAGCTATATGGCAGGTTTATGATGAACATATTTGACACAATGTACATATATATTCATATTGTGAAGTTAAACATTTTGTGAAAAAAACTAACATGCCCGTACACATGTCCATTTTAGTTTTGTTACTTTTTCTCCAACGTCCAAATTTTGTATCAAGAAACTGATTTGATTTACATTTACTATGACTTATATTCATACTCATATATGTTAATTTTGTTGTTTTACCATCTTCAGTTTCTCTTTAGATTATGGATGTACATACATACATACATACACACACACACACACACACTCTCACACACACACACACACACACACACACACACACACACACACACACACACACACACACACACACACACACACACACACACACACACACACACACACACATACATACATACATACATACATACAAATACTTCTATAGCGCCAGAATCCGATGTAATCGCCCAAAGGCGCTCTGAGTCCACGCTGGAGCTAAAGGTAAGCTTTGGTAAAAAGATGAGTCTTTAACTGGCTTTTGAAAGATGCAAGTTCAGTCAGTGATCGAAGTTCTTGTGGTACATTTTTCCAGAGTTTTGCACCATTTGAAGAGAATGCTCGGTCACCAAAAGACTTTGTTCTTGTACATTGAATTTGCAGAAGAGATTGGTCACTGGAGCGAAGAGATCGGGTTGGCACATAGGGTTTTACAAGCTGTGAAAGATACCCTGGAGCCAGTCCATGGATGCATTTAAAAACAAGAAGCAATACTTTGTATTGGATTCTGAATTTGATTGGGAGCCAATGGAGATTTTTCATGACAGGGGTAATGTGGTCAATTTTCTTTGTTCTACTGATCAATCTTGCGGCTGAATTCTGGACTCTCTGTAATATACAGTATTCGTCTAGTCAGAATTCTAATAATATTTTTATAACTAATGTTACTATACACACATCGAAGCATCAATCTTAATATGAATAGTTTTTGCGATGACAAACACCAAGGTTATTTTGTATATGTTCTCAAGAAAGTGCGTCCCAATCCATGTGACCTCATGTCGATCAATACCATCACTTCCAGATTCTTGTGTCTGCGTTGCTCAACTGCGTAGGTGAGCGAGTTTAATTTTACGCCGCTTTTAGCAATATTCCAGCAATTGTCAAGACGGAGGACACCAATATTGGTTCACACATTGTACCCATGTTGGGAATCGAACCCGAGTATTTGGGCTTCACGAACAAACGTTTTAACCACTGGGCTACCCCACATTGCGTATGTACATGAATGCATCTACATTCTATTTCTCTGAAAGATGCATATTGCCAACAACTATGAGTTAATGAAAATGAAGAGCATGTCCTGTCTTAACGAGAACACACACCACTCTCATAATTTAAAGTATGTGTTTGTTGCCTGAAAAGCATTCCAGAAATGCTGTTTGATATTCACGGTGCTATACTATGCAATGACCTTTTCAGGACGTTTTGGCGTTGTGTTGACAAAAGCATGTATTTTGATGACAAGTGTATGATTGGTTGAGTCTGTGGACGAACACCTGGTGTCATCACTGATTTCAGCGATCCGCCCAAATACCTGTCATACTATTTGTTTTCCTTTTACAAACTAAAGCGAGGTGAAATAGGGTTTGTGGCTGTATTAGAGATTATTCAACATGGTTTTAAGACGCTTTATAAGACGCTAGATACTCTTAAACAGGGAGACTTGTTCAGTACTAGAGTCTATGGTGTGGACGTTGTGAAGTCTTAACCCTGTATTTATTTCCGACCATGAAACCGATCACCCGATCCAGTTACTCTCTTCTTACAAGCATGGGTTACGAAAGGCGCAAGATACTTCTCTCTCTCTCCCCCCCTGAAAAAACATCAAACCTCCTTTGTTCCTTTGATCCATTGTTGTTTTCTTATTACTATGCTCCTTACATCATGTCATGGATCCACGACCCGTGAAGATCCGGGGTGGAATTAGCCTTCAGTAACCCATGTTTGTCGTAAGAGGCGATCGGGTGGTCAGGCTCGCTGACTTGGTTGACATCGTATCTCACTTGCGTAGAACGATGCTCATGCTGTTGCTCACTGGATTGTCTGGTCCAAATTCGATTATTTACAGACCGCCGCCATATAGCTGTAACATTGCTGAGTGCGGCGTAAAATTAAACTCACTCACTCACTCATGGATCCACGTGATGGTGAAGCTCATTTCTGGTGTCCCCCGCCGTGATGTTGCTGGAATATTGCTAAAAGCGGCGTAAAACCAAAACTCAGTCAGTCAGTCAGCCAGTCCACGTGATGGAGGAGTGAGCATATGAACGTGTTTCTCATAAGAACGAAAATGAAATCTATAAATTATCAATTCTAAATATCATTCAAAGACATAAGGATTTGTGGTCCATATCTCATGAAGTGTTTTGAGTCACGAATGTTAACTGCATTTCAATTTCAATAATTCCGGATTACATTGCCTTGGCAACAGGATCCCAGGAAATGACACTTGATGAGCCTCTTTAATCTGACCACTTATTTGAGACATGATTGATACTAGAACTTGAAGGTCTTTGAGTGGAACAAACCGTCCCAGGTGCAAGATGACCATTGTGGTAATTACGAAGGAAGTCACTAACAGCAAGGAAAAAAACCCGTTATGTCGTTTTCAGTGAAAACTTTGGTTTCCTAATGCGTCTGTATGGTCACGTTCATGTAAACATGAAACGTCAAAAGGGGCGGTGAGGTAGCCTAGTGGTTAAAGCGTCCGCTCGTCACACCGAAGACCCGGGTTCGAATCCCCACATGGTACAATGTGTGAAGCCCATTTCTTGCGTCCCCCGCCGTGATATTGCTGGAATATTACCAAAAACGGCGTAAAACTAAACTCACTCACTGACTCACTAAACATCAACACTAGAGAATAATCTTTCTCGATTTTCTGCTGAAACGGATTTCAGTAATATGCCAAAATATCGTGAAAATGTAGAATATGAGTCCCTCAAAATCAACGAAAATGGTAAGCATCTCCTGCTCTGCTGGTAGAATCTGCCACTCTCACAATTTGCATTAAAATGTTATTGCTTGTATGTTGCCTAGTGACGTGGAGCGGTACTCCTGACATAATCACATTGAATGTAACACATTAGCTGCTAACCATTTTTGTGTTTGGTTTGTTAAGTGGCCGTTATGTATTATCCGTGCCCATAATGAGTTGCAGTTTACAAAGACATCACCTCAAAGGCCTTCTGTTAATCTTATGTTTACTTTTCATAATGCGAATTTGAATCACTTTTTTTCCTGACTAGGATGGTATGGAGCCGGTTTCTACTACCAACGTATTCATCTGTTTATAGAGCATGCCTTTATACATAGCTTTAGTTTCACGGTGATTATCGTGACAGTTTGTTGATACTGACCATATTATAACATCAAACTTCTTAGTTCTGAACTAATTTGATTGTGTAGGCTGAAGCTAGTGTTATAGACATTCCGGCGACCAATTGGATGCATATCTAAGTGAATCGTTGGGGGGTTCATCTTGCTAGTGTCCGTTGAAAAATGACGTTTGTTTGAATCTTGATGTCTGTATTCACATATTTAAACATTTCATCCTCTTTGTCAGAGAGAAATATTTTATGAAAACAATGATCGTGATTTCCAGCTGATATTTTGTTGACATGTGTATTGCTGGCAGCAATCTGTCTCAGATGGCGTGTAACCTCTGCCAACCGAAACTTTTCACGGTTGTTGGTCGCGAGGCATGACGTCATGGTAATGGCGAATGGGTTGGTTGGGTTCCGAATTTGTTTGGACAGTGTTTCATTGATATCATTGTGTTTTAGTTTCATGTGGAAGCAAAGTCCAATTTGAAGTGTATCGTAGACGGTTACTTCTATCGTGAAGTCGTTAAATTCGGATGTTATGATTGAGGCAATGATTTTGGTTGTTTACTGTTTAACGCCGCGCTCGGCGGTATTCAAGCTATACAGCGACTTGTTTGTAAATATTCCGAGTCTGGACCAGACAATCCAGCGATCAGCAGCATGAGCATCGATCTACTCAACTGGGAACCGATGACATGTGTCAACCAAGTCAGTCAACCTGACCACCCGATCTCGTTAGTCCCTCTTATGACAAGCATGGGTTGCTGAAGATCAATTCCAACCCGGATTGAGGGAATGGTGACTATCGGGTGAAACTGGAGAATATTAAACTCCAGTGCACAATACATAAATCAATAAATTACCTGTCACATTACTTTAATGTGAAGGGAAAATCCCATAGCCTAATGGCGAAGGCCTTCACGGTGAAGGCACAGGGTAGACTGCCCTCGTGTATATATGAATCTCAATTTAATGTGTGTCCCCTTCCTTGATGTTACTGAAATGTTACTAAATACGGTGTAAAACCAAACCCACTCTCGACAATGTAACCTTGTTTTTCGGTTGATTTCTGAATTCTTATTAATTAAATATATTCAATAAAACAATGATACCACTTGGCAGGCAGAAGCGGGTATAACATCTCGGACTGACGTTTGAGCTCACCACATGTCCGGCATGTCCCCAAACTTGCTAACAGCATACCGGTCCAGATTCACGTTATAATCACATGTATAACAGTATATTTTATCTTATCTTCAAGTAAAATACTTTGATTTCATTGGTCAGTGACGCTTTAACAAGTTACCGTGTCACCCCTCCCAGGAAGGTGACAACTGGAAAATATATTACCCGCTGCCACGGTAACCGCCAAACTCTCCGCCAAGAAGCTGTATCGCTAACAATCGTCACCGTTCGATTAGCTGGGTTTTGAGTTCGCTATGTACCCGTTTATTTTACCGACTTTCACTGCTTTACTTAAACTATTTCATACATTGTATCGGTTGCACACTCAACTTAAACACAATTAACCATTTTTATAGCAGTTTTAAGCTTGTCAGAATATGTTTCACAGATTTTAAAAAATCCAGTTGTGAGGCAGACGCCATTTTGTTTACTTGTCACATAGTCAGTAGCGATCTTATCGATCTTCAAAATAAAATAAAATTATATTTTGTACAATTAACAAGGCGGTAAGATAAATACGTTGTATGTTTCACCCTTGGGTAATAACCTACCGGCTGGGGTGGCACTGCTACAAAGAGGCGTACATCAGACCGCATTACCCTCGAAAGATGCATACAACTTATAATATCAAATTTAATTCATTTTTCGAAAACGTTTTTTTAAACATGTGGCAGTGGCTGCGACACTTAGATCCTCCATGATCTAGACCCAATTCTACAAATTTAAAGCAATCACATCACTACCACTGTCCTATGTTAAACTATAAGAGCCTTGAGGGTGTTATACGGAACGGGGTAGTGTCCCTATTTCATATATATTTTAGGATGTCAAACTGTAAACCTCCTTACTGTAGGGGAGGTGGGGAAGCCTAATGGTTATAGCGCTTGCTCGTCACGCCGAAGATTAGATTCCCCAAATAGGTGTAAAGCATATTTCTGGTTTCCCCCGCGGTGATATAGGTACATTGTATTACTAAAAGTGACGTCACCCTCACTCACT